AAAATTCAGAAATTCAGAAATTCAGAAATTCAGAAATTCAAAAATTCAGAAATTCAGAAATTCAGAAATTCAGAAATTCAGAAATTTAGAAATTCAGAAATTCAGAAATTCAGAAATTCAGAAATTCAGAAATTCAGAAATTCAGAAATTCAAAAATTCAGAAATTCAAAAATTCAGATTTTCAGAAATTCAGAAATTCAAAAATTCAGAAATTCAAAAATTCAGAAATTCAGAAATTCAGAAATTCAAAAATTCAGAAATTCAGAAATTCAGATATTCAGATATTCAGAAATTCAGAAATTCAGAAATTCAGAAATTCAAAAATTCAGAAATTCAGAAATTCAGAAATTCAAAAATTCAGAAATTCAAAAATTCAGAAATTCAAAAATTCAGAAATTCAGAAATTCAGAAATTCAAAAATTCAGAAATTCAGAAATTCAGAAATTCAGAAATTCAGAAATTCAGAAATTCAAAAATTCAGAAATTCAGGAAATTCAGAAATTCAGAAATTCAGAAATTCAGAAATTCAGAAATTCAGAAATTCAGAAATTCAAAAATTCAGAAATTCAGAAATTCAGAAATTCAAAAATTCAGAAATTCAGAAATTCAGAAATTCAGAAATTCAAAAATTCAGAAATTCAAAAATTCAGAAATTTAGAAATTCAGAAATTCAGAAATTCAGAAATTCAGGAATTCAAAAATTCAGAAATTCAGAAATTCAGAAATTCAGAAATTCAGAAATTTAGAAATTCAGAAATTCAGAAATTCAGAAATTCAGAAATTCAGAAATTCAGAAATTCAGAAATTCAAAAATTCAGAAATTCAGAAATTCAGAAATTCAGAAATTCAGAAATTTAGAAATTCAGAAATTCAGAAATTCAGAAATTTAGAAATTCAGAAATTCAGAAATTCAGAAATTCAGAAATTCAAAAATTCAGAAATTCAGAAATTCAGAAATTCAGAAATTCAGAAATTTAGAAATTCAGAAATTCAGAAATTCAGAAATTCAGAAATTCAGAAATTCAGAAATTCAGAAATTCAAAAATTCAGAAATTCAGAAATTCAGAAATTCAGAAATTCAGAAATTTAGAAATTCAGAAATTCAGAAATTCAGAAATTCAGAAATTCAGAAATTCAGAAATTCAGAAATTCAAAAATTCAGAAATTCAAAAATTCAGAAATTCAGAAATTCAGAAATTCAAAAATTCAGAAATTCAGAAATTCAGAAATTCAGAAATTCAGAAATTCAGAAATTCAGAAATTCAGAAATTCAGAAATTCAGAATTTCAAGTTTCAAAATTTCTGAATTTTTGACTTCCAGAATTTTTTGGAATTTCAGAAATTCTGTCTCCTAGGATTTAGCCAATCTAGAATTTTCGAAATTTTTCGGAAATTAAATATTTTAGAAAATTGAAAAACTCAGTAATCCAAAAGTTTAAGAACTCCGAAATTCCCGAATTTCTGAATTTTCGAAATTTCTCTAAAATTCCAATCTTCACTTAACTTTCAGGCTTCTCAAGTCTCCAATGACCTGAACTGTCTCACATCGAAAAACTTCAAAATCTCCAGAATCCACGAGATTCTAAACTTCCTAGAAACCCTGTTCACATCAAGAGAACACGAGTCATTCCTGTTGGAATCCAAAGAAATCATGTCTCAATTTTCAAATATGAGAGACGCCTTCATAAAAGTCAACGATTTTTTGGAGAAAAATCGAGACAAAGACTTTTCCGGAGATCCGAATAATCCAGTTCTAAAGCTCAAAGAGCCCGCAAAAGTGGCAGCAACATTTGGCTCGGGGGTTCGAGCTCTGTTTCCCGTTTGGCTCGTTTATCAGCATAGAGGTCAATTTTTGGAGACCGCGAATTTTTCGAAAAATGTTCAAGATTTGATTGGAAGCTCAAATAACGATTCGGTGACTCGAAACTTCTGGGCAACTGGCTCGGCAAGTTTGGAAATTCGAAATCTAGTTGGGCAAATGGACGCACTCAATAGCTGGTCAGAATATGTCCAGGACAAGGACATTTTGGAATTCCGAAACGTATTTGAGCTGGCGAAAAATATTACCGGATTCAAGGGACAGGACAAAACATTTAGCCATATTTCGAAGCAGTTATGGGAATATGATTCGGATGATTTGGACTTTGATCAAGCGCTGAACAACAGTGAACATCTATTGGAGCTAAATTTGGATTTCACGAATTTCGAAGGAGAATTACAAGCGGCGAAGTTGAGTTTTCTAGAGATTAAGGACTATTTTGATGAGATTTTTGGATTGAAAACGGAGGAAGAGGATGGGAAAATGTGAGCCCTTTTTCTGAAAAATTTTTGGGACCTTTCTTTTTTTGCTAGAATCGAAAACTCGTATCTTCTGGTTATCTGTATTTCGATCCCCGTATTTTTCCTTCTGGTCATTTGTGCGTTTTGTCTCTATGGATTTTCTGAAAATGGACGGAAACAGTACAAAAATTGGTATTTGTTCTATTTTGGGAAGCCACAAGATTATGAGAATCGATGGAGATATTCGGTAAGTACACGCCTGCCCATGCCTTGCCCAACGCTTGTCCATTCTTGGTCAACCCTTGTCGATGCTTGTCCAAAGTTTGTTCAAAGCTTGCCGATGCCTCGACCATGCTTGTCCGTGCTTGCCCATGTTCAACGCTTTCCCAACGCTTACTCATGCTTGCCCAACTCTTACCGACAGTTGCCGGAACTTGTTCAATGCTTGTCCAAAACTTGGCGATGCCTTGCCGATTCTATGCCGATGCCTTGTCTTTGCTTACCCTTGCTTGCCCTTGTTTACCCTACTTGCCTAACGCTTGCCCATGCTTGCCGAGGCTGGCCCGATGCGTGCCCATGCTTGTCCGACGCTTTGCCCATGCCTTGCCGACGATTGTCAAACACTCGCCTTGCGCTTGTCCAACCTTGCCGACGTTTTCCGAGGCTTGCCGGCGCTTGTCCAATGCCTGCCGACACTTGCAGTACTCTTGTAAAATGCTTGCATGCGCTTGTTCACGCTTGCCGACGTTTGCTGGTGCATGCCGATGCTTGACAAGGCTTGTCCAACGCTTTTCTAACGCTTGTCCATCCTTGTCCAATGCTTGCCCAACGCTTGCCGATCCCGCAATTCAAATATTATTGACTTCCAGTTTTTCATGGATCGCCAGGATGGTCAGAATGCTCTAATCGAAGCCGTCCGGGAAATACACGCATCGCATGTTCGAGAAATTGTGAGGGGTGGAGCCTATATCAATGTCTACAGTCGTAAGTGTACTTTCAGATTTTTTTCCTGATTTTTTTTGAAATCTGAAATTCCAGAACACGGAAACACTTGTCTCCACATGGCCACCAAACGGGGATATGCCGAAATTGTTGAGATTTTAATCAAAAATGGGGCGGACCGAAGTCTGCTAAATTCTCAAAATAAAACACCCGAACAAATGTTGAATACCAGCTATCGGACGACCCAAACGGATAGTCGAAAACTGGAAAATTACGAAAAAATTGAGAAAATTTATAAGAAATCGAAAAACAAGAAGTACCGAATTCGAGTTCCTGACATATTTCCGTCGAGCTCATTTCACATTTTTGCTGATAAAAATACGGATGACGAGTTGACGAATCGATTTATGAACCAGTTTTCGGCGATTGTGAGTATCTTGGAACTTCTGGAATTTTAAAAATACTTTAAAATTACAATTTTTTGCTTATTTAACGCTTCAAAATCACTAAAATCTCAACAAAAATCTCAAAAAAAAACCTTAGAAATAGGCATTTTCAAAAAGAGTACCAGATGGCACAGTGGGTTTTGGCACCAACATTTACGGTCCACAACACCAAAGTTCGATTCCTTCTGGGGTCGAAACTTTGTTTATTTTTGTGTGGGCCTTAAAAATAATAGTTATAAACGTATTTGAGTGATATGAACTGATTTAAAAACAATTTTACAATAAAACATTTTGATTTTCTGAAAATTCCAGGCTTCCACTGAGCTCCTACCTACCACCACTCACTACATCGTCCACACGGATTCCAATGGAATTTTGGAAATCGACTCCTTTGAATTAGTGGTCTGGATTCTAAGTGGTGTGATAATAGTTAGGGATACCTGGATGATGGATTGTCTAAAAAATAAAAAAGTGATCGAAAAAGATTCGGCATACCTTGTGGAGAGGGTACGGTACAAGAGCATGGTCTACGATACAGTAATCCAATGGTCGAATGCAATGGCAAAAGGAACGATGCCGTATTTGTACGGAGTTTATGTGGCTGTGGTGATTCAGAATTATGTGAATTGTAAGTCTGTAAAGGGTCCTTTAATGGAGGGAAGGCAGAACATTTTCAGCAGTTTTCTTCCGATTTTTATATCAAACGAAATCCTATAAAATTTACTATATAATGGTGTAAGAATCAATTTTCTAGCTCTACTGGTTCCGCAGATACAGTCGCTTCAATTTTGAGCAAAAAGAGACGCAGAGAAACGAGACGCGCTTCTTTGCTTCTTTCTTTTTTGCGTCTCTCTTGCGAGCGGTAAGTAAAAAAAGAGCGCGTATCTCACGAGCTGTTTAAGATGTGAAATAGCTGTCAACTGAAAAAAATGCTTATGGTATTATGATGAACATTTTATCAATTGATCACTTTCTGATATCTTTCACAGGAAACGAGATAAATTGGCTTCAAGTAGTCTTTACCCATTTTTCAAGCCTTTTTTCAGTGATCTCTCTGGTGACTCTTGTGACCACTCATGGAGGTATAATACTTGAACAATTTCCTGAAAAGTCTCAATTTAATATTGGATCTCATCCATACCTTCATGCACATCTGGGACCCCTTTTTATCATTCACGATGGACAGGTAGGGATTTTTTAATAGCTCAGCTTTGAGCTCAAGTATCTCGCTAGCTATGAAAGATATGAAAAAATAATCAATTAATAAAATGTTTATCATCATATCACAAACATTTTATTAGTTGACAAAGTTTTGATATCTCTTACAGGAACCGGGATAATTGGCCTTGAAATGTAAAAGTGTCCCTTCAAACTCCAAAACTTTCAATATTTCAGACAAATCTGGAATCCTACAAAAATGATACGGACAAAATGTACACACTGTTTACGGAAGAAGAATTCATTCATTTTATGCTTAAGCGAATGATCAATGTGGATAAAAGTGAAAATCCGATTTCGGTGTTGGTGGATGGAGAGGATTAGGAATTGTTCGTTTCCCAAAATGAATACTTGATTTCAATAAAGCATAATATTTTTTTAAAGAGAATTTTTCAGCTTTAAAGGGGAATTTTTCAGCTAAATGAAAATCCATACTGCCTAGAAAATTTGAATTCCTGATTTTTCTGGAGTTCCTAATTTTCGAAATTTCGAAATTTTTCTTCAATTATGAGTTTCTGGAAACCAGATTCTTTTTGCAATTTCTGACTTTCATTGAACTTCCGGATTTCAGAATTTTTCGAATTTCTGATTTTCCGAATTTCTGAATTACTTCAATGGAAATTCAATTTTCTCGAATTTCGAAAGTTTCGAAAGTTTTGAAAGTTTCCAATCCAAAAGTTCAGAAATATCAGAAATATAAAAATTTCGAATTTTTGAAATTCTCGAAAACTGAAACTTTGAAATTGTGGATATCAGAAAACCTGAATATTTTTGGGACTCATCCGAACGTCGGTTGTGTGGTGTTATGGGGTAAGAGGATGACTCATTAGGAGCGAATCTGCTGGTTCGACCCCCACTGTGGTAAAACTTTTTTTGCTTTTATTGAAACAAATTTCCTGTATCCGTTTTGGTTCTCTAGATAACAAATTATACTTTTTTCATGAATTTCCTAGTTTTTTAAATATCAAAAACAAGGCTTTTGAAATTTAAAAAAAATTGGTTTCGGAAAAGACAGAGGTTTCGGAAATTAAAAGTGGGGCAAGATGAGATAAGGAATTTTAAATTTGGAGCAAATCTTCGAAAAACAAGCTTGTTGATTCAAAAACTTAGAGATTCCAAATTGAAATCCAATCTAGAAAATTTGAAAGACTATGGAGAGAAGTTCCAGCCTGAACTAGTTCTGAAAATGATGAAGTTCTGCAAAACGGTCTTCTCACTTTCAAACTTCCAGGAAACCAAAACTTTCTTACAAATCTTCGCTGCTCTTAATCATAATCTGCTTGAAGCTGAGCAATTTGTGAAGGATATTGGACCACAATATCATGAAGAGCATTCGGGAAAAGAGGATTCGAATCCAATCCTCAAACTAGAGAATTCTCAAGAGATGGCGTTGAGTTTGGGCCGAGGAATGAGGGTACTGAGGCAGATGGTGAAGACGTTGAGGTATAAGCGACGTCTTCGGAAGGTTCTGGAATATTCTGAAGGTGTTAGTGACAAAATCCAACGCTACAATGCCTTTGAGCATGTCAAAGAAGCTTGGAGGAATCGAAAAGTTGAGATTTCAAAACTGCTTTCTGAACTTGAAATTTTGAACAAGTACGCTGAAAAGGTCAAGGATTCAAGTCCAATGGAGATGCGGAAAATTCTGGATGAAGCCACAAAAGTTCATGGGTTTTCGAGCATTTTTGGGCCGATTTTCGAGCAGTTCAATGGCCAAAAAACGTTCTTGAGAGAGACAAAAAATTTCGAGAAGCTGGCAGAACTGGAGCTGAATTTTGCAAGCCAAAAGGGGTATTTACACGCTGCTTCGTTGAGTTTTGATGAGTTGAAAACCTATTTTGATGAGGTTTTCGATTTGGATCATAATAGACATCATCATCATGAGTGAGTATTTTTGAAATTTTGAATCTGGCATAGAAATCAAAATTAATGGAAAATTAAGCCGTGAAATTTTATTCTAGCTTCAAGTTTTTGAAAATATCAATTTTAAGCCGAGTTATATCCATTTTAAAGTTGGTGGCCTAGAAACCCAAATTTGGCCAACTAGGCCATGTTGCATATGGTTGAAAAGCACAGATTGTGGAAAACCTAAACCAATTTTTGAAATTCAAAGATATTGATTTTGAAGCGAGTTATGCCCAATTAAAAGTTGGTGGTCTAGAAATCTGAAACTAGGAGAAGTTTTCCAAAATTGGAATGGTCATAACCCGCTTCATAATCCATATTATTTAAATCTGAAAACTGATTTAGAACTGTCTAAACCTGTTCTTCAAAATTGTGTACATTTTGGCCTAGATTTCCTGGATTTTGAATTTCTAGGCCACAAACTTCAAATGGTTACAACACGCCGCAAAATCAAGATTTTCAAAATCTGAAAACTGACCAATTTTCTAAAACAAGACGTTTTTTTCCGATATAAATTATGGCCCAATTTTTTGCTAAAATGAAATTCTAGGCCAACAGAAATTCTGAAATTCAGACTTCTCATTTTATTCAGAATCGAACACAATCATCTCCCGGCAATTCTCATTTGCATTACGAAAACTCATAATTGAAGAAAAATTTCGAAATTTCGAAAATTAGGAACTCCAGAAAAATCAGGAATTCAAATTTTCTAGGCAGTATGGATTTTCATTTAGCTGAAAAATTCTCTTTAAAAAAATATTATGCTTTATTGAAATCAAGTATTCATTTTGGGAAACGAACAATTCCTAATCCTCTCCATCCACCAACACCGAAATCGGATTTTCACTTTTATCCACATTGATCATTCGCTTAAGCATAAAATGAATGAATTCTTCTTCCGTAAACAGTGTGTACATTTTGTCCGTATCATTTTTGTAGGATTCCAGATTTGTCTGAAATATTGAAAGTTTTGGAGTTTGAAGGGACACTTTTACATTTCAAGGCCAATTATCCCTATTTCTAAGGTTTTTTTTGAGATTTTTGTTGAGATTTTAGTGATTTTGAAGCGTTAAATAAGCAAAAAATTGTAATTTCAAAGTATTTTTAAAATTCCAGAAGTTCCAAGATACTCACAATCGCCGAAAACTTGTTCCCCGTTTCTTTCTAATAAATAATACATTTTTCACAGTGTTTTGATGGACATAATTCCAAGCTTCGCAACCATCTCATCTATGCGAGGAAATTTTTTAGACGCAACAAAACAATATGGGCAATCATGATCTATACCTCGGTTCCTCACAAGAGAATAGTGACAATGAGGAGGACCTGGATGAAGAGGATGAATGTCCGACAGTGACAACGATGCTCATATTGATGATTCTCGAGAAAATCTTAAGTTCAGCTGTGTCAATTTTTTTCGAAAAGTTGTTACCTTCTAATTTTCTTGTGCTTCCACACCGAAAGAACTTAATAAAAATTTTTAAAAATCGAAAATTGTTTTTTTTTCTATTGCGCGCATGCTCATCAGCTCTGATTGTGAGGTGATCTATCGGACTTCTGAACTTTTTTTTTCTGAGAAAATTTCAAGATTTAAGAAGATTGAGAAGATTTATGAGAAGTATAAGAACAAGAAGATCCGAAATCGTGAGTTTGAAGATTTTGAATTTTTGAATTTTTAAATTTCTGAATTTTTGAATTTCTGAATTTCTGAATTTCTGAATTTCTGAATTTCTGAATTTCTGAATTTGAGTTACTGTAGTGTTCAAATTCCCACTGTAGCCGGAAACCAACGAGTGTTTGCCTTCGAGAAACTTTAAATTTGCTGAGGCATCTAGAATTTTTTCCAGATGTTTCCCTTTTTTCAGAATTGGATTCAGAAATTCGGGGAAATTGCTCAAGGACTCTAGACACTTCGAAATTTCTGGTATTTTCGATTTTATGAGAATTATCGAATCCTTTTGTTGTGTTTTAGTGGTCAATCCAGATGGCTGATTGCTCAGTGTATTCCAGAATTTCAAAATTTCAGCCACGAGATTTTGGTCACATGTTAGAAGGGTTTTGAGGGTGGAGTTGCTGGTGAGAGTCTGAAAAAATTAAAAAATTAAAAAACAATATTTGAAAAGATTTCAGATATTAAGAGCTTCAAAATGAGCCCACAAGGCTAGGCTCGGCCCATTTTGGATCTCAAAATTTGAAAGTAGGCGGAGCCTAAGCGTGTTCATGATTACTTTGAAGCACAACAAACTTTTTGAAAACTGAAAAAAAGTGAAAATCAGAAATTCCAAAAATAGAATTTCTGAAAATTCAAAAGCTTGAAAACTTTTTCTTGTCAAAATTTCATTGAAATCCTAAAATTTCGAAAGTCCAAAAATTCAAAATTGCAATAGAATTCGATGTTCGAATTCTCGGAATTTGGAATTCAGTAATTCAAAAGTTCAGGAACCCCAAGAGTGGGAATTCTAGAAAATTCAAAATTAGGGGTTCTGGAACTTCCAGAAATTCAGAAACTGCTCAAAAAGTCGGAAATTCAGAAATTCAGAATTTTAGAATGTCTTTTTTAGAATATCTGAATTTCTGAGTTTTGTGAATTTTATTTTGAGTTTCTCAATTCCTAAATTTCTGAACTTCCGAATTTCCGATTTCTCCCGAAATTTCAGATAAAAAATACCTCAAAATACTCTTCCAAAACTGGATCATTTTTCTTCAATTTAATATTCATTCCCTCCATTATCTTCTCTGTCATCTGGCTAGCATTTCTCAATTCCAACAAATATTTTTCAGTCCGATCCTGAATTTCAGCCAACGATTCGAATAACGAATCCACGGAGACGTTGTAACCAGAAACGTCCGTAGCCAGAATTTCATTTAATGCTGATGGATTCGCTTTCAGCGATTCTCCAAGAATTTCATATGGTCGAAATGTTTTTCGAATGACTGATGCTTGAAGGGAAATAGCGTTGACGACACGAGCAATAGCTGAGAGCTCTCGAAACAGGAGATCGAATTTTGAAAAAACTTCTGAAAAATGTTGTTTAATACTTTCTGGTTTCAAAAATATCGACTTTGAGCCAAGTTATGCCAAATTCAAGGCTGGTGGCCTAGAAACCCAAAATTAGAAAAAAAACAAAACTAGGCCAAGTTGCATATGGTTGGAAAGCACAGGTTGCGGCAAACCTAAATCTGATTCTAGAATTCAAAAAAATGTTTTTGAAGTAAGTTTAAGTTTGATGGCCTAGAAATCCAAAACTAGGCCACATTTCTGCAAATTTGAAATGATCATAACTCGCTTCAAGATTAATATTTTTGAGATCTGAAAACTGACTTAAAATTGTTAAAACATGTTCTTCAAAATTTTGTATACCTTGGCCTAGATTTTCTAAGTTTTGAGTTTCTAGGCCATCAAATTGAAATGATCATTAATCGCTTCAAAAGCCTAGCTTTTTCAAAATTTTCGATTCCTAGGACACGATTTTTTTTACATTCAAACTAACTCAGATACTCAGCTGGCCTTCCACAGTGCCCGAGGTACAGTAACCCGAGAATCCAAAGAACTTGAATCCTCATAATTATCCTTGCGGTGAACTTGAAATTTTTCAACAAACGACTCTGAAATTTAGACTAGAAAACTCTAGAAAACTGGCTGAAGACTCACAAAAAAGCGTTCAGAAATTTTTTGATTTGAGGTTGGAAAATATAAATGTTGACTTAAAAAAACTTTCAGATTTATGTGGAAAACGTGGGAGCTATAAAAATATAGGTTTTTTGGATTTTGAGGAATCAGGAAAGCAATTTTTTCCAGTTTTGGATATCTGAATTTCTGAATTTTTAAAATTTTTGTACTTCTGAATTTCTGAATATCCGAACTTCTGGATAATGAAACTTAAAGCTTTATAAACATTTCTTTATTCATTAAATTCGTTCGAACGATTCTAACCATTGGATTACTGTAACATAGTTTAAAAATAGAAGAATTAGAAAAATCGGGAAAATCAGTTCAAATTTCAATCATTCGACATTATCAGAAGACGTCTCATTGACACACTCTTGACGACGTCTTCTGAACGATTCAAGACGCTTCTTGATGTGGCTGCGTGCGGAAGGGCGGGTGGGCGGAGCCTCTTCTTCACGATTTCCAGATTCTTCGAGTGGGTTGATCAGAATTTTTTCCAGACGACGAGACGTTTGAACCACTGAAAATCAAAATTTTAGAATCTGAAAATCTCTACCCAACTTACTCATCGCCGCAATAACCGGAAAGAACAAGAAGAAGCGGAACAAAAATGCAAACATTGTAGCCATGACGAGTTCCTAAAAACTGAAAATTAAATCTATCTGTCTATCTGTGTGTCCAGATGTCTCTTACCACAATTACAATCACATCAAAGCATTGAGTGGATCCTAGGAGTCCGATAAGGGCGTTCGCCGAGCCCATTAATAGAAATGGGACGTGTTGTGGAGCGTATTCCATACCGTAGTGCTCCTGGAGCCAGCGGATCAGGAAGAAGAGAGTCAGGTGTTGTAGCTGGAAAAGGAAAATCGATTATTGATTTTTTGGGAAGTGCTGGGCAAGCGTTTGCAATTGTCTTAAAGAATCGGCAAGACATGGGCAAAGCATGGGCAAGCCTAGTCTTACCAAGGTGTACTTGAGGTTCTCGAAATCCTTCCAGAATGGCTTCTGGGTTGATTGGCGTGCCTCCTGGGAGAGGAAGATGCTGAAAATGAGCAATTCTTTTTTCATATTTTCAGGTTCTTGGGAACTCACTCTCCAAGAGTTTCCAAAAACTCGTTCGTAGTCATTTTCGTTTCTGAAAAAAGCTAAATTTGATACTGAGCCCACGGAGTCTGATTTCCGAAAACTGGATTTTTAGAGCCTCGTTTAGATATGTATAAAAAAGGAAAAAGAAGAAAAAGGTACACTGCATTTTCGAAAAAGTGAAAATTGAAAAGAAGAATACGTCTGGGGAGGATGGAGAAGGTTGTCATTAGAAACCCGACATCTCTAGGAGACAGCAAAAATTGGAAAATGAGAGTAGAATGAGTGAAATATGGAATGACGGGGAGAAAGAGAACATAAGAAAGAGAACATGTCTAGGATTTTTAGTGTAAAGGTGGTGTGCTGTGAAAAATTGTATTGCTTAATTTTGTGCAGAATTCCATGTAGATTCCCAAAAAATAGGGAAAAAATTCAAAAAATTCCTTCATTGAGAAAAACGGCATCGAAAAGTCAAAGTTGTATCTGGTGGCCTAGCGGCCAGGTGTGAGCTTTCTAGGTCAACTTCCGGTAAAAGCGCGCGAAATTTCAATTTTTATTGATTTTCCGGGTTTCCTCTGATGTTTTTTAAAGATTTCGAAATGTTTTTGTTAATTTCCTCCCAGGTGTATGCAAAAACCTGACAAAAATCAGAGAAAACACTGAAAATCAATAAAAATTCAAATTTCGCGCGCTTTTACCGGCAGTTGGCCTAGAAAACTCACACCTGGCCGCTAGGCCACCGGATCCCACTTTGACTTTTCGATGCCGTTTTTCTTAATGAAGGAATTTTTTTGAATTTTTTCTTTGTTTTTATGGGAATCTACATGGATTTCTGCACAAAATAAAGCAATAAAATTTTTCACCGCACACCACCTTTAAAAATACAATTTTGAAAAAAAAAGTCGAATTCTAGTAGTTTGAAAATTCCAACATTTTCAGAAACGATGTTTTCGGGAACTACCTGGGACCCTTCATCAGAAAACGAGGATCATCAATTTTGATCAAATTTATCTCGGATCCTGTTTAAGATATCGAAAATTGGTCAACTGATAAAATGTTTATCATAATGTCAGAAACATTTCGCTAGTTAGGCACTTTTAGATATCTTTCACAGTAACTGAGATAAATTGGTTCAAAGTTGTCTATTTTGGTGGACTAGTTTTTGGATTTCTAGGCCACCAAGAATCTAACTAGTAAGAATCTTAGAATCAAGACGTTCTAAAAAATCCGACAAAATTTTTCAATATTTTTGACTTCAAAGTCCGGACGTCTAAAATGCGAACATCCGGACACTTGGAAATTCGGAAATCCTTGAAATCATAAAATGTAGAAGCATCGGAATCTGGAATTTAAAAAATCTGAAAATCGGAAAGCCCTTGTCATAACAAACAAACATTTTTATTCCACCAAATTGCGAAAATATCGATGAAAAAAGAAAAATGACATTTCTCGAATAAAAAAAAGCGAATGGGGAAAATGAGAACATGAGCCGTCCGCCCGAATTGGCGGCGGAGAGTGAGCCCATCTCAATGAGCTCACTCGCCTCAAATGGGACGGGGGGAAAATAAATAGAATGGAGATTTTTCGGCGGTGCGGGGGAAGGAAATGAGAAAAGTCAGAAGACAATGAAATAGGGAAAAGAAGGGAAATCATTAAAAAGAAAATAGCTGGTTTTGGCATTTTTATAGATGTTATAAGACATAAAACATAAAAACTAAACTTCATAGGTTTGGAGTGGCCCGGAAATCCAGAAAAAAGGCCACCAACTTCAACCAAAGTTGTCTCGATTCCTGTAAAAGATATCAAAAAGTTGTCCACTGACAAAACATGCGACATAAAATGAGCAATGTTTTGTTAATTGACAACTTTTTGATATCTTTTACCGGAAATGAGACAGATGAGATCCAAGGAAAGTGCGCTCCACGGACAAGTTTTCAGGCAGCGCGCCGCATAGCGTCAACTTCAATCCATGTGATCTCAGTTTTAGTGGGAGGTATCAAAAAGTTGTCAACTGGTAAAATGTTGTTAATTTTGTGATAAACATTTTTTGTGATAAATTAGCTTGAAGTTGGAGGGTTCTTTATGATGGATTAAGGAAAGGCTTAAAAGGATGATCATCTTCATCTGCTGGTACCTTTTTGTTCGAATATTAGTGGTTTTGTAGTAAGAAAGGTACTGTAGATAAGAGCATTAGTGTAGAAAAAATTTTCTGGGTTACTGTAGCTTCATCGGTACTACTGTAGTTGAGACTAAAGACAGTTGAGGCAAAGGAAAAGGAGTTGAGGCAAAGCTGTAACATGGGAGAAGATACAAGTAATAGATGTAAGGGTTACGGTAGCCATATTTAGATTACGGTAATTAGGTAGATGGGTTACTGTAGATCTTGGTAGGTACTGTAGATCGGTAGTGATACTGTAGCCACATTTCAGAGCATAACAGGAGAGTTATCCTCCAAATCTGCTTGGTTCTCGATAAGGTTTTGCTCGGTGTTGACGATCACTAAAACGAATTTTGAAAAGTTTTTAGAATTCTAGATTTTTTTAGGAATTCCTGAATTCCTGGCTGCTCACCGAAATAAGCGACTTTCATGGAAACGAGGCAAAGAAAAAGACCAGTGCCATCAAAATCGCTGTGTTCTGGATAGACGTATGGGATGACAAGATTTGAAAGAACGATCACGGCAAGAGAAACCTGCAAAAAAGGAATTGTCGGAGCCTGGACTCGAACCCGGGTAGCGCGCGCAAAAGCAAAGCGCGCTAACCTCTACACTGCGGCGCAACATAGTAAAGGGTGGGTCAGATGACGTATAGGTATGGTGGCTTTTCGCGAGAAAAAAATTGAAAAAAAACTTTGAGCTCCCAAAAATTTAGCTACTCACTTGAATTGCATTAATCGATATTTGGTAAAGTTGGAGAAGCAATTCAAATCCTCACGTCCCAAGCAGTGAGCCATCATTATAGCAACCATAATGAAATGAAGAACAGTAACGATTTGAAAGAAAGCGAAGATTTCCAAAAGGCCGTAGATCGATACTGCGTAGAAGAACTGAAAAGTACTGTAATCTGCTGAAAGCCATTTTTACAAGTTCTGACAAATGCTCTGTTGTGAAGTGACGGGTTTTGACACTCCGGAATCCGAAATGATCATTTCATAGTTATTCTCTTTAGAGCTCAACTATATCGGTTCCCATGAAAGCTATCAAAAAGTTATCAGCTGATAAAATAGTTGTTATAAGATAATCTACATTTTATTAGTTGACATCGGTTTGATAGCTTTTACTGGAAGCGAGGTAATTGAGCTCAAATTATAAGAATATGGTTGGAGATTATAAGTCGGGTCTTACAATTAAGAGTTCTATAACGTCATAGTTCCAAAACTAACCATAACACGATACGGGGATTTCCTCTGATGGTCCTCCTTTCCCGCATCAATCACAGCCTGAGATTGAGTTCTAGCCTGAACGCGAGCTTGTGTAGCTTCTGCGGATGGAGTCATAACAACAACGCGCATTCGCAAAATGTAAAGGTTTGAAAATTGAAAATTGAAGAAAATCTGAAAACACACTTTTTTATTTTTTCGCCTAAAATTGAGAGAAATCGGTAGGTAGAGAAGCAGGCGGGTCAGCGACGGGCCAGTAATGGGCCAGGTGGCGTCTGCTTTTTCAGGACCTCAGGTTTGATACTGAACATTGAAATACAGTCAAATTTATTAACATTTTGTAGATCTCGGCAAGATCTACATTTTGAAATTTAATTTGTAAAGTAATTCCTAGTTTGAGCTGAGTTATGCGTCTGCGCCCCAACGAGGTCGGTGCCTCCATGTGCCGATTTTTCCTGTACACTTTTTCACCATCTCTGAGTCAAAACTCGGCATTTCAATATAACTGGATTTAGTATCAATTTGTAGATTTTGTTGAGTTCTTCATTTTGATAATTAATTCGTATCAAAAATCAAAGTTTAAGCTGAGTTACGCGTCAGCGCGTAATGGGATCGAGTTGGCGGCAAAGATGTTCCCGCCCTTCCGTCTTTTTACCCTCTCTCACTCGAAACTCGGCAATCTAATGTTATTGAGTTATATATCATCTTGTAGCTCTTTTCAAGTTCTACATTTTCCTTTTTATTTTGAATCAAAGTATCTAGTTTGAGCTGAGTTATGACTTGGCCAATGTTCAGGTCTGGTCGAAACCAAAAAAAAAGAAAATTGAGCAAAAAAGGACAAATTCGAGAATCACACGTCTTCTCTTCTTTGTGATGGATATACAAAAAACCGGGGGGTAGCACATCCCATTTTGACAGGATGATGGAGTCGTTTGTGGTTCGGATGGTACAAGAAGAAAATAAATGGAGTCGGGGGGAGTGGATGGGTAATTGAGGCGAGAAATTGGAAATGAGAAATAAAGAACAAGAAGGAAATATTGGAAGATGAATCAGAAAAAAAATGAAGAAAGAAGAGAAAGGAGGGCAAAATTTCTAGAAAAAAGGCGGAGTTGAAAATGACAAGGGACAAGGAGCAATAAGAACAGCTGGAGTACAGAAAGCTGGAATTTAAGAATCTAGGAATCTTGTAAAATTGAGAAATGGGAAAGCGTTAGACAAGCATTGGAAAAACATCTGAAGCTGAGGACTTTTTTCATGAACTAAAAAATCGGAAATCACAAGTTTTCATATACACACCTCGTGCTCGTCCTTTCCCTCTTGAGACCAGCTCATTATTTTTGTTTGAGGGGAAAGAAGAAAAGGTGGATAATTTCGAAATTCAGGAGAAGATAATGATAGGGTTCAAAAGGGAAACGCTGAAGAGGAAAACGAAAATGATGATTTGTTTTTAAACTTTACTGTAGTCATGGTGATGATCAGCACTTTTTTCATTAGATCAAAACCCAAATTTTAAAAAAAGTTCCTTGAAAAATGATACAGAAACTTGACGAAAGCCGCAGAACTTATAAACCAAATCTAGTAGTTCTTTTTTGAAAACTATGACTATTTTTACTACAACTGGCTTATGAGATCGGAAAGCCAAAAAAGTTTGCGTTATACCACAACAAAAACCAAGTTCCTAGCTCAATTTTGAAGAGAGTTACAGACAGATTTGTTCCTGGTGCGCGG